TTATAAGAGTTTTTTTTTTATACATATTAAATTGGCAATTATGCTAGAATGCCTTTACAAACTGTTACCTTTCTAAATTTGAGCCCAAAATATTTGATTGGTTATTTTTGAAATATTATAGAGAGTGACTGTTATTAATGGTTTAAGCGAAATTCATATTAATGGTTTCAGTGATATGTTGAGTACATGATATTACTGCTTTCGAATGTTTAAAGAGATTTATAAATAATTTAAGTATGCAAGTGGACTCATCCGGTTCGCCGGTGAGGTATAAGTGGACCTATCTGGGACACCGGTAGGGATTAAGTGGACTCATCCGGTACGCCGGTGAGGTATAAGTGGACCTACAGGGATTAAGTGGACCTATCTGGGACGTCGATAGGGATTAAGTGGACCCATCAGGACGCTGATGGGGTATATAGGTGACCTGCTTGGGACGCCAGTAGGGTATTTTGTGAAATCCTTTGAATTATGTACTGTCGTTAAAAGTGTTATAAGCATTTCAATTACTCGGATTATACAATGCAATTATTGAAAGTGAAATTGTTGATGCATTTCTATTAATAGATCTCATTTTGGAAAATATTGATATCTTTCAATCATGATTATTTTTAGGATTATGATGATCACTTACTGAGTAGCCAAACTCATCAAACTATGGTAAACATTTTTCAGGATAACTACGGATTCATTTTGAGTGCTAGTCAAGATCAACCTTGGAAGCTACTGTTGTTGTGTTAGCTTTCTTTACTTACTATGTAAGACCTCGCCACTGTAAATTTGTCCTATCAATAGATGTATATATGTTTTGTCAATCACATCTCAGGAATAATAGTATTGTAAATTCTCGGGGTGTGACAGCACGAAAAACTGAAAGGTGGCTCTCTAGCACCCTTACATGGGCTAAGTCACCTCGAAGTGTAAAGTGGCCTCAAATCTCGCCTATAGTTGCATGGAATAAGTGAGCCTTATTGTAGAGAGATAAGGTGAGCATGAAATTTAGAGAGAAAATAATGGTTGATTGAAAGGTGGCTCTTCAGCATCCATGCACAGGCTGAAGACACCTCGAAGTGTAAAATCGCCTCAAATCTCGCCTATAGTTGCATGGAATAAGTGAGCCTTAATGTAGAGAGATAAGGTTAGCACGAAATTTAGAAAGAAAATAATGATAGACAGAAAGGTGGCTCTTCATCTCCCGTGCACGGGCTAAGGGCACCTCGAAGTGTAAAGTCGCCTCGAATCTCACCTATAGTTGCATGGAATAAGTGAGCCTTAATGTAGAGAGGTAAGGTGAGCACGAAATTTAGAGAGAAAATAATGGCAAACTGAAAGGTGGCTCTTCAGCATGGATGCACGGGGTAATGGCACCTTGAAGTGCAAAGTCGCCTTGAATCTCGCCTATAGTTGTATGGAATAAGTGAGCCTTATTGTAGATAGATAAGGTGAGCACGAAATTTAGAAAGAAAATTAATAATAGACTGAAAGGTGCCTCTTCAGCACCCATGCATGGGCTAAGGGCACCTCGAAATGTAAAGTCCCCTCAAATCTTGACTATAGTTGCGTGGAGTAAGTGAGCCTTAGTGTAGAGAGATAAGGTGAGCACAAAATTTAGAGAGAAAATAATGGTAGACTGAAAAGTGGCTTTTCAACACCTACGCATCAGCTAAAGGCACCTCGAAGTGTAAAGTCGCATTCAATCTCGCCTATAGTTGCATGGAATAAGTGAGCCATGATGTAAAGAGAAAAGGTGAGCAAGAAATTTAGAGAGAGAATAATGTTAGATTAAAAGGTGGCTCTTCAACACCCATGCACGGCCTTAGGGCACCACAAAGTGTAAAGTTGCCTCAAATCTTGCCTGTAATTGCATGGAATAAGTGAGCCTTAATGTAGAGAGATGAGGTGAGCATGAAATTTAGAGAGAAAATAATGGTAGATTGAAAGGTGGCTCTTTAGCACCCATGCATAGCCTCAGGCCACCTCTCTCTCTC